CATCACCCTGCTGTCTTCAGTTAATTTAACATGGGAGATGAGGTCAATATATATGAAGAAAGAGCTAAAACTTTGAAGTTCTGGTGTCTTTTGTTGGTTCATGTCTCAACCTGAGTGTTATTTAAACATCTATTTTTTCACATTTAATACTGGGTAATACTCTAGAGGCCTCTATAAAACAGCTAATGTTCCCTTTGGCATCGAAATCCACTTACCTTAACTGACTTCTGTTATACTTCAACCTGATTCTCAGAGTCACAATGGTAATATTCATTTTAATGTCCCAATAGACTCTTAGTATTCATCAAATATTTGATTTACATTTCTAATAAGGCTTATGGAATGCAGAGACATGAAACCCATACTCTGCCATGATTCTAACTAGTGTCTCTTTCATTAACACTGAGAATTATTTCTCAAAAATAATTAAAATCTGTAATTGAATATACTAGAATAATTTTGGAAAATTAGTTTAATTATTCTAGTGCTTCTATTTGGAAAGATCACATAATTTATAATGAGAGAATAGGCAAATATGAATTTGCTCTCACAGAGTCCTTTTGTTTATACTTACCTTTAAAGAAAACATATACACTTGAAATGCCTGCTAAGCAATATAGTTACAATGGAGATGTTTTGCAGAATTCTACTGGAAAAAAGTCAGTCTCAGAATTATTTCAACAATTAATAGGCTTGTTTTCCCCTTCAGGAATTTGTTGGTTTTTATTTTTTTCTGTATGTATCCTGCAACATAAAAAAATATTCTTCAAGTGAGCTGACTCTTGCAAATCAGCTTCCCAGTACCTGAAGGGAGCCTATAGGAAGGATGGGGAGTATTTGGAAGAGCAAGAAGTGGCAGGAGAAGGAGGAATTATTTTCAACTATGAGAGATTAGGTTTGGCCTGGATATTTGGAAGGAGTTATTTTCTGGGTGGGTGGTGAGGCAGGGCGCAGGTTGTGGCTGCCCCATGCCCTGTGCCTGGCAGTGCTCAAGGGCAGGCTGGATGGGGCTCTGAGTGACCTGGTGCAGTGGAGCTGTCGCTGCCCATGGCGGGGGGTCAGAATGAGATGATCTTTAGGGTCCCTTCCAACCCAAACCATTCAGTAATTATGTGATTTAGGCACAGCAGATCTGAATACAAAAATGAATCATATATTCTAGATGAAGAGTACTTATATGCCAGAAATCACTACCCTGTGTGAACAAAAACAAGACTGCAACTCCGATAACTAGGGGATGGATTGGAATGGTTACAAATTCCTGGCATATTCACACTTTTCCAAGTATACTGCTGCTGTACAGGCAACTGCCAACCCTTGTTAGGGTTCATCAGTGGCTTCCTGGGCAAGAAAGTTAGGAAGTTTGTGGTTCATCATGAACACAAGGTCTGAAAGCTGGCCATAAACATCTGGCCAGCATTTTCCAGCCACTACTGCAACATGATGAGTTGTGGGACTGAGTGATGTTTTGACCTTTATAAACATATGAAGAGAATAGAAAAAAATGTGCAAAAATAAGACCTGAACTAGAAAATTTGGACGAAAGAGAACTGGATTGAAGGATTCTTGGTTGCTTGGATTTCCCACTGCCTCAGGAATCCCAGTAAGTTCTTTGCCAAGATGCCAGAAGGTTTCTGGCTAGGGACCTGACCCCAGCAAGAGTTATATATAAATTCTCAGATGGAGAATTGGAGTGATGTGGTGTGGGTAAGCACAGGGCACCTCTCATTCATAACCAGAATCAATTGCTGGGTTTTTTTTAAGTGTGGGTTAGAGCAGTAGTTTGGGCTTGTAAAATTCTAAATGTCTTGTGTTTGTTACTTTAGGGGCTGCTCTTGTTTCGTGATGGAATTTAGTTTGTAGCACTGCAGGGTTAGCTCTTCAGCCAGGGCCATACCACTGTGTCAGCACACATGTGGAACCTGGGCTAATTAGCCTTGCTTGCAGGCATGGCTAATTAGTCCAGATGTAACATGGATCTCATCATGTTTCTGAAAGCTGAGCTGGTGTTGCTGCATGATCCATGTCAGCCTCCTAATTCTCTCAGAGGTCTCTGTGGGCTCTCTGAGCAGGCTGAGTCACCAGCTACGCCCTCACTTGGCTCCTTTATGGGAGACCTTATGGCACAGAAGCTCTTAGGCTTTCACCAGCTTTAACCCCAAAGGACTGACAAAGGTGTCCAACACATTTTTCTTATTCCAATTTTTTTTCCATACTCAGTCTGCCAAGTTTTCTGTTCTTTAGCTCATGTCAGGGGCTCCTTTGCTCGTACAGGCTCCCGAGCTTTTTGTTCTTCTCTGTCTTGCTGGCTGTGGCAGGTGGATCTTCAGTGTCAGAGTCCTCTTTCCATCCTGACAGGGCCCCAGCTCTGTGCAGGGGACAATATTCATTACTGCTCCCACCTTTCACACTTTGGAGCAATGCTGAGTCCGACTGCTGAACCCCACAGCTGCCATGGGTGTCCTTGGCAGCATCCTTTACCAACCATGCATCAGGAAAAGTGGGATCAGGTCTTTTTGTCTAAAGGCAGTTATTTCCTGCAGTAGTGATACAAGAAGAAAGGGTTAGAATCTCTTTGATTCCCCCTCATTTCAGTCTGTTTCAAAACAATGGCTGACATTTTGTCACCTAGCCTTGCTCAGTTTCATATATGGCTCCTGCTAACTGCATGAAAATGTTACAGAATGAGGCCCAGGAAGGACAAATAAAACTATGTGAGGGGAAGATGGAGTGCATGGCAGGAGAGGAATAGTAGATTATTTCCTTTTATTCTTCCCTCCAAGCAAACAATGTTGAGTGGTTGAATTACTTAGTAAATGTTACTCTTTTCATCAGGTCTTATTCCTTACATTTTACCAAAGTGAATAGTGATTAGTAATAATGAGTGAGATTTAATAAGTCTTATAAAGATAATCTTCCATGTAAAGTTTGCTGGCTTATCCCCAAAAGAATTATTATAATATCAGTATAAAATCACTTTTTTCTGAAAGAAATACTAGGGTTCAGACAGCTGGGGCTGCATGTGTGCATGGGGGTCAGAAAATTTATTTTATTTTTGTCCTATTATTTCAAAAAGGAGATTATTGAGTAACGTGAGAACTCTTGGAGCTGTTTAGCACTTTCCCTGTTCATGCCAGAGAGAATCACACATTTACTGCTAATGAGCAGAATGCAGCTTTATGACTTTGTCTGAATATTTTCCCTGAGATGACTTCCTTTGCCACTAAAATCATTGGCAGGGCCCCTCCAGTTGGTTTTAATGAGGAAGAATTGGACCTTTAATAAGCATCATGGTCACGTAAGCTTGGGGTTTGTTTTTTTAGCATCGTGCTTTTTAAGTGTTTTTAGTTACTGCCTGCAGTGTATACAGCTGTGAACTTGGATAATAAATAAGGATTATTTCTATGAAGAAACCTTTGGCAGCAATTTTTGCTTTGCTGAGGTAAGCTGTTAGTCATCTGCCACCAAAGGGTAATCAGCTAGATTTTAAATATTGCTGTGTCTTTCTACTTTTACTGTATTTTTGATTAGTCAATAAATACATGTTCAGTCTCTTTCCAAAGCCCAGCAATCAATGTAGATGCAAGATACATTGCTGAAAAGGAACAAACCAGCACCAGCTAGCTTTTGCTTGTTCTAAGAGAAGGTCGGGCTCACTTGGAAATTAGTGGAAGGTGGTAAAGCTTCATTATAAAAAACATCACAACCAAAAAATGGTGTTGACAGGTGGTAAAGTACATTCTCGAGACTGAATAAACTTATTCATTGATGGTAAAAGTGAAGCCAGAGAAACTGCACTCCCTGATATGAAGGGTGAATTTGAGCTTTGGCACCCTGCAGGCAAATACATTGCAGATTCCAGAGCCTAAGTTTAGGCTTTTAAACCTATGTATGGGTACATGGCAGATTTTTAAAAGAGCCTAGTATGGAGTCAAGGAGAATGTCTTGTATAATAAAATAAATGTAGAGACAAGAGAGGAATCATGATTTTCTATTCTTGCTTTTTATGAAATAGTTCCAATCCAAACATCCTCACCAACCTAACTCTCCCTGCTGAATCCCCAAAAAAACAGTGCTGTAAATGTCTAAGAAGTTGCAACAAAATAGAGTGTGTAACGGAGTTTTTTGTCATATTGAGTAAATTAAAATGGGAAAGGCCTGACATAGTTAGGAACCAATAGATATATCCTGTCTTCTAGGTAGAGGGTTAGGAAATTAGCTGTTTGGGTTCTTACTTACACTGCAAAAAAGAGAGAGTTATTAGTTGCATTAGGGGCAAACTGGGTGTGAGCTGTATTCAGTCTTTGGATATATTGCAACAAAACACCAAATAAAAAGTAGTGATTTAGCCAAACTCAAAAAACTCTCCTGATAAATAAGGAACATGGTATATCAGCAGGTATTTTTCAGCATCTCTGCTATTTTTTGCCTCTGATAGGGATGCAGAGAAGGTTGTGTGCATTATGCAGATGACTTTGGTTCAAATTTGGTTTGAATAAATCCCTGCCTGGTATTTTTGCTTGTAAAGATTGCTGATAGCAAAGGATTGGGTTGCATAAAATTTCTTCACCTCAATAAGGCAGTCCTTGCTCTAAAAGGCTTCATTCCTTGGAGTAATCAAGATCTTATTTGTTATCATGTAGCAAAGTCTTTCTCTTTTGCACCCATCTCAGTAAGAGGAATTTTCAGTTAGAAGGTAAGTAGATAACATAGAAACTGCTGTTACACAAAACAATCAGATTTGACTGTACATTCTGGAAAGATATGAAACTGTGAGCGCCCTCAGGCCCATTGATAAAGCTGTCAAGAGAAACTGCTAGAATATTCTGCTTCCCAGGTGTCAGTCAGGTGTGTAATGCAGGAATGCATGATTTTCCACTGCTGTACCTTCAGCAGTGCATGGATGTCCTGCAACATGCCAAAGGACAGAACTGAAGCTTTCAAGTAGATCACAAGTTTTCCTTTATGCCTCATTTTGGTTGTTTTGTTTTTTTTTCCAGACTATGCCAGTTTTTAGGAGAAAGCTGTCCTTCAGCTCTTTGGGCTTTATTCAGTCATTGGCTCTGTTTCAACAATACATCAAATGGATTGTGCAGTGTGAGCACGGAAGATGAATTTATTAAGATTGTGCACTACATTGTTCATTCTGCATATCCCCATTTGTTCCTTGTCTTTGGAACATAGTAGTGCCTTAGAGGACTCTGCTAGTTAACAATAGGTCAAACTGTGAATTTGAGAACTTTTGCAAACAAAAAAAAGGGGAAAGTAAAAAAAAAATCCTAAAATTAAGGGACATTGCAGACAATCTAGCAACATGACTATTTGTGACACATGGCAATAGTCTGAGGAAAACTGAAGCACCTACAAAGCTGGAAAATGTGTTGCAGCCAGCCAGCACTGAGCTGCCCTGGATGGCAGAAGAAGACACAAATGGATTAGTTTACAGTCAGGTCTGGGAAGCAGGGCACAAAAACAGAGCTGTAGAGCCTTGGGAATTGTGCCCAACTCTGCCACAGTCTTACTGGGCAACCTGAATAGCTATTTTGTAATTTTTATTTGTTTCCAACACTCAGTTTTGACTATTCCTGTGCTGATGTTATAAGATGGATGTCGATGGGAAATCAGAGTTTGGACTGTAAATCTCCCTGGGCAGAGCCCCATCCTGCGTACCTGGCACAATAGAGACAGCATCTCTGTGGGGAACTGAAGGCATTACTGTAATAAAAGTATCAATATTTTAATCATCTGCCTTATTTCATGTCACTGTTGTGTGGAGTAATTTGGACATTTGTTTCCTTTGCACATTTAAAATGGTCCCAGGGAGACTTCAGTGGATTGAGGTTCAGGGATCATGTGGACCTGATTATTCAAATTCCCTGCACCTGTGGGGGTTTCTTTTGATATTGCATGTTTCAAACTGAATGCCCACTAAATACAATGAATTTAAAATATGGAAAAATGAATTAAATGAAAACATTAGAACTGCATCTAAGTTTGTAATCAGCACGATGTGGGGGATGGAAATGAATGTGGAACCCAGCTGAACAGTGTGTTGGCATAAGAACTCTTGACTTACAGCTGTTCCTTTGTTCTTTTTTGTTAGTTTTACAGCATTTTTTTCCAGAAAACCTTACTTTGCATGAAAGACAAATTCATATGAGAAAATTGTTTAGCTTTGTGCATCATAATTTAAACAGAGTGAATTGAAATCTGTTAAAGTTACACAGGATTCTGAAGGAGTGGGCAGTTTAGGCTAATAGGTAATTTCTGTCCAAAATAAGAAACTAGTATTTTCTGTAATGTAAAAATCAGCTTAGACAGAAATATTCTCATTGTCTAGTAAGGCTAACAGGTCTTCAAAAACAGAATTACGGAGACAAAAGAGAAAAATAAAAATCCATTACAAAAACTGTGCATGGAATTTGTCTGTAAATAGCTTTTCTGGACATTGTGAAACAATGAGACAGATTGGTAGGAGTGAAGGGCTCTGTCTGGTGAGCATTCCTACCCTGCTGCAGTTAATCCTGAGGGACTCCTCAAGGCATGGCTTCAAACTGCTAATTCTTCCACAGACTAACTCATGAGGAAGACCACCAACCACTTTCTTGTGAGAGAGAATAATTCAGGTTGTAAGGAACCCCAGGATGTCTGTGGTCCCACCTCGCACTGAATAAAGGCTGAACTGTGGGGTCACGTCGGGTGGGTCAGCATTTAATTCAGTATGATCCTGAAAACCTGCAGGGAGGGGAGATCCTCAACCTTCCTGGGCAGCCTCTTCCCCTCCTTGGCTGCCTCCATAAGTTTTTCCTTTTATCCAGTGAATATACTTTGTTGTGGTTGTGTGGTTTTTTCTTTTTTTTTGTGTGTGTTTGTTGCTGTTTGGTTTTGGTTTTGGTTTTGGTTTTGGTTGGTTTGTTGATTGGTTGCTTTCAGGTTTTTAAGTTTTTCTTTTGCCAGGAACATGGGATTTCAAGAGAATGACTAGAAAGAGGAGATGTTTGGTTTCCAGTCCATACTGTAACCATTGTTATTATGCATTTCATGCTAAAAATTCACTGCATAAAGTACACAAAAAGAAATATAACCCAGCATTCTTGCTCCTCAACCACTCACATGAGCATCCTGTTTACTGCATTAAAAATCATATCATGGTGCTGGATTTTGGTTTTTTTCCACAGGTTCATCTATTGAAACTTGACTACATTTTTCTGAGGTTGTCCAGCTTAAACAGGAAAGGTATCATATCCTGAGCAGCCAGGTGCTGAGAGATCTATTCAAACAGATGGACCTTGAGCCTCCTCCCTCTGAAGTGGCTTAGCCAATGCTTTATCATCAGAGCTTTGATCACTTTCCTGTTCCAGAGCAGGGAGCACTTTTACTAACCTCTCTCCTGATTAAGGTCTCCTGTTTGTAGCTGCTCTCAGCTCCCTGGCAGGCACTGGCTGCATCCACCACAAGGCAGGTTTGTTCCCTGCCTGGACTGTGATCGAGTTCAGCTGTAAATACTGCAGTCAGCCTTCATTAGCTTTAATCGAGATGGTGTTAGGCGAGCAGTAGAAGAGTCTTTCTCACCAACATCTGCCTCCAGGTTCTCCAATTTGCAAGGAAAGTAGAAAAAATAACAATAACAAAAATTTCTCTGATTTTTCAGATTCTTTATTATTTTTCTTTTTTTCTTCCCACCATTTTTGTTTGCTTCTTCCTTTGTTGTGTGCAAGACTGCAGCATGCAAGAGGCAGAACTGTTCAGGCTGAGGGGTTGTCTCATGGTTCAGATCACCAAATGCCACTGTGAGGAACTGAGCTCCTCTCCTGCCTTCACAACCATGCAGATTTTTTCAACTAGAGTTTTCAGTGATTTTTTAAACAAATATTTCCTGTTTATGGGCAAGCTGAAAACTCGTGTGTAAAGCACAAGTGAATAGGGGCTGTATTTTAAATGTGTGCACTGCTGCATGACTTACAATTTATTTATATCAAAGCAGGAACCCAAATTTCTGAATTTTTAGCAAAGTGGCCTTCTTCTCTGTGCTTCAATTATATGATTTCTTAGAGGTGTTGGGAGGATAGATTAATTATAGTGAGAGCTGAGAGCACCACCAAAAAAAAAAAAAGCTGAGAAAGCCACAAAAAAGCCTATGGAGAAATTGGTAATTTTGTATTCAGTGCAGGGTTTTGATGATGAGTGCTAAATAAGGTCTGGAATCAAACACAGAATGATGAAGATAAAAAGAAAAACTGAATAATTCCCCATTCAGTTAGTGTCCATTTTATGCGCCGAGTCTTGTAGGAGGGGAAAAATTCAACATTCATTCTCATATTTTATAAATTTTGAGTTCTTGAGCCTGGAAATTTAATATTTGAGTAGCATGAGATTAGAGAAAAGCAGACTAGAAACAGCACAAAAGAGTCCCCTTCCACGAGGACATCTCCCAGGTTTCATTTAAGTGAGATACAAGAGTTTGTGAAAATTTGTATGTACAAAGAGCTTTGGTTATTGTTGTTAGTGCCGGAAATGAAGCTGCTTGTTATCAGTAAACTTCCCAGCAGCTCCTAGCCAAGAGGCTCCCACGTTTCCTTGTCCAGCAACAGGGTGCTGTGCACAGCAAGCACGCCTGGGGGTAGCAAATAAACTTGGAGAAGATCTCATATTGCTGAGCCGACATGATGGGGCTGCTTTTGTGTGAAAAGGAATTGAAGGGTGGGATTCGGATACATGGGAGCTTAATTTTTCAGCTTTGTGATTAGAGCTGTAGTGTTTACTGCCCTCACCTGTCCCTCTAGTCTTTAAGTCTCTTGTGAGAATGGCAGTCCCCTCTGAATTCAAAAGGCAAAGCAAGCCTCAGTTTTTAATTTCTGCCTGTCAGTCACTCTGGATTCTGAGCAGAATTGATGACCCATTCGCAGGGATTGCTAAAGCTACACAGGCAGGAACCCATTTGACAGGTAAAGGATAACTCCCTTTTTCTTGGGTGCCTTCGTGGCTGTAATTAACATTTCTGTTTTGTTCTAATTATAGTTTTTGTATCTTAGCCATTATGCTAATTGTGTTGTTCAGTAGTATGTGAGATTGCATTCATTATCACTGGTGAATTAAACCTTTATTAAAGAAAAATTCCCCCAGGCCTCATTCTGAAGTTAAGTAATTATTCATTTGGTTTTATCCTGGCAATTAGCTTATATACTGTAGCACTTGTGATTTGGTTTCTATACCTCCCCAGATTAGATTAACCCACCATGGTAAATAAATGCATAACAGTGCCCAACACATTGCTTTAAGTGCATTGTTATATAGAAAAAAAAAAATCCAAAAACTCAGAAAATCCCAGTCCCAAAAAGATTCATTGTTCAGTAGGAGAGCTGTGGAGCTCCCAGCAGGCTGTACAGGCAGAAGGAGATTGTGCTGGACTGCTGGGGCTCTGCGGAGCAACAGTAATAACAAAAGAGTTTATGGAGCCCTCCAACAGAGCAGTTAATTCTTTCTTCAATTGCAATGACTTCCTTGGTCAATATGCCTCATATCTGAGATATGCACTGTGCTCAGCCACACTCGCAGTGTAAATCAAGCCCTCGGAGAGCCTCCAGACAAACATGAATTTCCTGGGTGATGTAGCCTGGCTCTCAGTCAAGAGAGGGTTTGAAAAAATGGCAAGGAAAACCTTGTTTGCCCTCCCCTACATACTTGTAGTTTGGGAATGCCTCACAAGCATTGTTGGATTCGGCAGTGCTTCCTTGAAGAAAGATGAGGGTTTATGCCTGTTTTTCTACTGGAACATGGAGGCATGGGAAAATTAGGGATTTACCAACAGTCACACAAAAATCATCAAGAGAAACAGATTCTGACTGTTTTCCCTGTGGCCTAATCAGATGTTTAACTGTGTTAACAGAATTTTTTCTCTCATATCTATTTTTAGCAGACATTAAGTTTACAAATATCCCACAAAATGTGACACACACATTTGAAGTCTCTTTTCACTGATGCTATTCATCTTAAGCGTCTCTGTGGAGAGAGGGAACCATTGTCCTGCCTTTAATTACAGCTACAGTTTTCAGAAGTATTTTTAAATGGAAACAACTTAAAGGCATTAAGAGAATCAATCAAGCATCCTTGATTCCACACAGGACTTCAGTGACGCCTCATATATAATCATTGCAGAAGGTGAAACCTAACGTGCTACCACAGCCAAAACATTAATCAACTACCTGAGAGTTTTGCCTCAAGAAGTAATTTAGAATTTGACCTTGAATTTGGGTAGCTAGTATGTATGGAATGCAGGCATTACCTCTGCTGTGTTGTGAACCCAGCAAATTTGCACAGATAGGAAAAAATTAGTATACATTGATTTTTGACAAGCATCATTTAATCTCTTGTATATTCTGGCAATATCTACCAAATACCCACAGGATCTAGGAACAACCTTAAACATCTCTACTTTCAATTCCAAATGCAAGCTGCATGTCATTAACCTTGCCTCAATATCAAACATGTGAAGCACAGCAGAAATAAAATAAATAAATAAAAAATAATTTTGAAAGAAGCCACATAATTTTCCCATTGGGAAAAAATACTGAGAGAAGGAAAAGGGGAAACAAAATGCTTGTCCTGTCCTCTAATGCATGTCATGAAAGTATTTGACTTCAGATT